GGTTCACACAGACGGGCCCTGAGGAGGCACATCCGCCCGGGACCCCCAGGGCCCGGCGCTGCACGCGGAGGACTGAGCTCTCCCCGGGACGGGCGTGAAGCCACTCGGTCCTGAGTGGTGGAGAGCTGGGGCGGAGGGGCTGCGACAGGAGCTCTGAACTGGGCGTCCTGAGGCTGGGACCCGGGTCACCAGCTGGCTGCTTCCCAGGGGAATGTCCGGGGAGGCCTCCGGGATGTTCTCGAGACTCCGGGAAAGAGAAGAATTCTCAGAAAATAAACCACCCCCTCCAAGCAGGGCTCCATGGGCAGCGGTGAGCCCCTGTCCCTGGGGGTGACGCAGAGGTGGGATGTCGCCCCAGTGAGGATGCTGTACAGGGTGCTGGGCTGAGAGTGGGCGGCTGGCGGGACCAGGCCCTCCCCTCTGGTCCTGAAATCCTAGGCTTCCAGGTCCTCGGGCCCCTCCCGAGCCCCTCTCTGCGTTAGGCCCCCCTGGCCTCCGCTGGGGCATCCCTGGGGGGGGGGTTGTGGCCCCCCAATGGCTGCTGTGCGGATGCTGCGATGGTGGCACCGCTCCCCAGGGGGGTGGAGGTGGACCCGGGACAGAGGCACCTGCCCTCCCGTGGCTGCCCGCTGCCTCCCAGCACAGAGGAAGATGCATACCAAGGCTCCATCTCCCGGCTGGGCCCTCGGCGGCTTAGCTCCCGCGTCAGTGGCCCCCTTGGCCGGCAGCCTGGCCAGGGCCGTCTGCAGCTGGAAAAGCAAGCCCCACACTTAATCTTTCATTCGGCTCAGCAACTGCGGCACCGCGTGAAGCAGCCCAGGCCGCCCTCGGGTGCGTGGCTGCTGACCTCCGACCTCCGTGGTTGCCTTTGGGCGCACCTGGGGGGTCTTTGGTGGGGAACGCTCATCCACCACATGCCCTGGGAGAGGGTCCCATGGACGGTCCGCCCTCTCCCCAGCCCTGGGAGTCACTGACAACTTAACAAGAAGAACGCTGCAGCCAGGGCCTGTGCCCGGGAGCCCTAACAGCCGTCTGGGAGGGGTAAGGAAAGACAGACTTCATGGTTCAGACGAGGAGATGCTGAGGACCTGCTGCCTGGGACCCATGGCCAAGACCATCACCACATACAGACAGGCCACCAGCCCGTCACTGGCTCCCCCACTGCTCCTCACACAAAGCCCACGCCCTGCCTAACAAGGCTGGGCATGGCCCACCCCCACCTCTCTCACCTCATCCTCTTCCCCTCTCAGCCACACGGGTCTCCTCCCAGGCCTTCTTCCCCACTCAGGGCCCCGCATCTGCGGGCACCTGGCATGGAGGCCCCTCCGCCACCTCTCCCATCTCATCCTCCGGGGACCCACCGGGCACGCTCCCTCCTCTAAGAGGCCCTGGGTGCTGGTCTATCTCCCAGGAGGGCGAGAGCCAGGCCTATTTTATCCCTACAGTCTCCCCGGGGCCTGGCACAGAGCCCGAGACGGGTCTCAGAACTGTGTTATGGAAGAAAGAAGCCCCAGGTCCGTGCCAGGCACAGTGACGGGGAGGACGCTGCGGAGCCACAGAACTGGACTTGAAATCGGGCACCACCACCTGCTGTGCGACTCCAGGAAGCCGCGTAGCCTCTTCCAGCCTCGGCTCCTGCCGCCCTGTGAGAGGCTGGTGGGTGCTCCCTGGCACATGGATTCCGTCCCGGCTCCTACGGGAGCGTGGACTGCCTGGGCTGTGCCCTCGCCCTGCTGGAGGGCTCTGGGATGAGCTTCGGGGGGTGGGGCGCAGCAGAAAGAGGAAGGGGGGCGGAAGTGAGACCGATTGGTAGCACGCTCCTGGCTCGGGCTTCCAATTAGCCAGGATCCCGTTAACGCATCTAACAAACGTGCATCCAGTGCTCACCCCATGCTGGGTCCTGCTCTAACGCTTTGCAACGTGAAGTCATTCATTCCTCAGGAAACCGTAGGGGGAGCCCTGTCCCTACCGCCACGTGACAGACGGGAGGGGGGGGGACCACCTTGCTCAGTGTCACAAAGCGAGTCAGCGACAGAGCTGAGGTTCCCACCCAGGCGGCCAGGCTCCAGGCCGCGTCCTGACCTCTGTGCGCTGCCTCTCCCTGACCCCTGTCCCCCTGGCTTCCCGACACACTCCCCCCTCTCAGGATGCGACAGACTAAGGAACTCACTGCTACCACGGACCCATCAGCCCTTCAGAAGGAGCCACAGCCCCCAAGTGCGGCTCCCTCTGTGGAGGGGTGGCCTGGAGTGCTGAGGCCCCTGCGGAGAGGGGGATGAGCAAGGCGCCTCACTTCCTGCTCCAGCTCCCGGACGCGATTGCTCAGCTGCTTCACTCTGGTCTTCGCACCCTCGGACTCCGCCATCAGCACCCGGTTCCTCTTGGACAGCTCGACGATCTTGCTGGCAATCGCATCCCCAGCCACACCGGCTGACCCTTGGGGGGAAGGAAGAGAGGGTGGGGTGAGTGAGAAACAGGCCCACACAGCACACGCACGCTCCACTGCCAGCCAACCGCCAGGGCTTTGAAAGAGGCTCGGGAGCGTCCCCGCACACCTGGGCGCCTGGAACCCGACCCCAGCAGGCACTGCAGCCACGCGGGGGCTCGGTGCGCCCTCGGAGAATGACCGAGTCGGGAAGCAGAGTGTTAATCCTCCGGGAGAGGGGGGTCATCGTGCCGGTCCTCCACGCCCTCCTCAGTGACGGGCTCACACACCCACACCTCCGGCCCGGGACTCGGCTGTGCCCCCCAGTGCTGACGCTGGGGTGACAAGGACTGGCTTTGGCCGATGGGACGCTAGCAGACAAGGTGGAGGTGGAGGCTTGAGAAGCTCTCGTGCAGGTAAACTCGCCCTTGTCGCTTGGGCCACCTCCTCAGGAGCAGTACACCCAGGCCAGCTGGCTGGCCCCAGGGAGAGGAAGAGAGACGCACAGAACAAAGCTGACCCACCCCAGCCCGGCCTGGACCAGCTGGTCCCCAGCCTAACCCAGAGGTCGGAGCTAAATCAGCGCTTACTGCTGAGCGCTGCTGAGGCGATCTGGTTGTTTCTTACACAGGATTTGGTGGTAACACCTAATAATACAGATGCACGTGTCCATTCAGTCAAAACTTAGTGAGTTTCTACCAAGTGTCGAACACTCGTGGCGTTAGGGACTCAATGGTGAATGAAAAAGATTTTTATAGATCATAAAAAACCAGCATAAATATGCATTCCAATACCCAGGAGGAATGAGTGCTACTGACGCTGGGCAAGGGGGTGAGAGTGAAGGGGTGATGCTGCTCTAGGGACGGTCAGGAAAGGCCTCTCTGAGGAGGCAACGTGTGGACAGAGACCTGGATGGATGAAGTGAGAGACCGGTCAGGCAGAAGGGTGTTCTCGGCGGAGGAACTAGCAAGTGCAAAGGTCCGGAGGCAGGAAAGTGCGTGGAGTGTCTGAGGAAGCAGCCGGGAGGCCGTGGGCAAGGGCAGGAGGCTGCAGAAGGGGTGGCTGGAGGGATGCCACGGAGGAGGGGCCTAGTGAGGGCAGGCGGTGGAGCCACCGCTTCTCAGCAGCCTTGCGCCAGGGCAGGCTGCCCTGCACGTCTGAGGCCCGAGCCAGGATGAGTGTTTCTGCTCTCGCAACACTGAGCCCGGTCTCCGGTGTTCTGTTTTAGACAGAAACGGCCGGAGCACGCAGGGAGGCGCAGGAGAACCCCAAGGGCCGTCAGGGTGCCAAAGCCCCTGGCTGTGGCATTTGGAACTGGTCCTCTGGGTGTCCCCCCCCTCTAAGGCATTTAAGATCAAAGGCCGGGAGGGACGCTCTGGCAGGTGTCCGGCGAGGCCCGCTGCTCTCTGCCATTGGTGACACGGCCTTTGTGGTTTACTGGTCAGCCACCTGGGGATTGCTCATCGGGCACACAGGGAGCGGGGGCCAAGGTCTAGCTCATAACCACAGAGCCAACCTCCAGCCCACGCCCACAGGGCTAAGGTCAATCTTACGTACACCCACAAAGCCACGGTCCCCACCAGACCCATGGGGCAAGGTCTCCACCAACACAGCCAAGGTCCAGCCTGGACCTGAAGGGCCCCCGTCCATTCTAGGCCATGCTGGGTCCTAGGAAATCCCGGGGAACAGCTGGCTTCCCCGGCTCGTCCACCTCTCTGGAGCAGCAGTGCGAGCCTGCTACCACTGGGGTGTTTCCACGTCCAAGATTCAACGTCGGGGCCAGAGCACCCACAGGAAATGGGCCCTGCTGGCCCAGGGAATACACAGCGAGCCAGCACCATGCAGAACCCTCGCCAGGAGTGCCGGCTGAGCCCAGTCCTTCTATCCCTGCCGCTCTCCCCTCCCACTTCCCGTGCTGGCCTCCGGGCCTGCCCTCCCTCTCCTCGCCCTCATTTCCAGGACTCCTCTGGACAAGCCCGACCACAGCAGACCCTCAGCACTCCCCTTGGGCCCCTGCCGCCTGGAACCCGCTGTTGGCCCATCGCGGCGATGGCGGAGCTACCTGTGAAGGCGAACCTGTCCTCTTCCAGCTTCTTCTTCAGGTGTTTGATCTCAAAGTCCCTTTCCTTCAGCAGCTTGTACAACCGCCCGTTCTCGTCCACGGTTTCCCTGAGCTGGTGGCGAAGCTGTTCGATCTCATCTTCCAGCACCCTGCAAGGCACAGGCAGCGTTACGGCCCCCGCCCAGGTCTGTCGAGCCCGCTGGGCACCAGGTGGTGATGAGAACTGGTCTGAACAAAGTAGGATGGGGAAATTAGGGGACCCTCAGTGAGCGGATGTTAACACACTGGTTTCAAAATCGAGACTCGGTGCACACGAGCCACACGCACATGCGCGCACACACGTGAGAGGAGAAAGAAATCTGAATAACGTGGCTTACTATGGATTCAACAGAGCGGGACATAAAACCTCCGCTCAGAGAATTCATCTTCCTCTTAAGCATCCATGGAACGTGTACAAAGGCAATCTTGGCAAATGCCAAATAATGGACATAGCTCTACAGACCGTTGTCCATCATGGCAATTGACTAAAATTAGAAATCAACAGGAGAAAAAACAAAACGGCAAACCTATCGTATGTTTGGAACAAAAAAAAACAAAACAAAACAAAAAAAAACCCCACTCCTAAATTAGGTGTGGATTAAGAAGAAATCCTAAATGCATTATCCAGCATTTCGAATGGACGGACTGCAGAAGCGATAAACATCACAACTTGTGAAAGGCAGATAAAGTGATGCTTAGAAGGGGATTTACAGTCTTCATTGCACACACATGCTAGAAGACCAGACAGAATTTGTCTAAGCCTTACGTTGAGGCTACGTCTCCAGGTTTTCGGTAAACCTGACAGAGAATCGGGTGGTTGGTTGGTTTCGTGTGTTATAAATTGTCTGCAAGGCAATTTATAACGGAGCGTCTGCGATCACTTCCATTGTTACGAATGGGACAGGCTCCCTAGCGACAGCTGCTCAGAAAGGAAATCCGTTATAGAAGTTAAAGGTTATAGAAATTATTGCTGTTGCTGTTAATCCACCCATGGCTCAAGTCTCCCTCGCTTCCAGGTTCCTGATTTGGGGAAAGGTCATTTGCCAATAGCTCTGGGGTTAACTTGGAGCTAATATTTAAGAGCCATATGAAGTTTCAATTATCGGGAGGTCGTCTATTTTTTATCAACTAGAATTTTTAGTAGAACATTTTGAAAACTGAGAAACCATAAACAGTAGAATTTGAAGGTGGAGAAAAAAAGATCCTGGGTGAAGCCAGAAGCAAAGAGGCAGCTCAACAACTGCAGTGATTTTTATGAAAAATGACAAACAGAGAATTTTGTGTCAATACAGACTCCTGTATAGATCAACATGCATCCGTGGGACGTCAAATTCGGAGCAGAGTGAGAAAGTTATGGACTCTCGTCGACTTTTCCACCAACTGTAAAATCGCAAGGAACCCGCCCAGAGCTTCTTCAGCACAGCCAGCTTTCTGTGATGCTAGGCCAGGAAAGGGACACTGCCCGGGGGAACAATCCCAGGTGGGAATGGGAGCGATGACTGTCGATGAACCGATGAAACATGAGAATTAGCCAACCAGCTCCTCAGAAACCCGGACCAGTTTCCATGAGAAACGACGTAAGAAAATCCAAGTGAATAGACTACACCCTGACGAGTTCCAAGATTTCAATTAAACTTTAAGTGGTTTTTAAGTACATTTCCTACATTTTGTCCGCCGCAGACCTACCAGACTCTAGAGCAGCGGTTCTCAACCTGTGGGTCGCGACCCCTTTGGCAGTCGAACGACCCTTTCACAGGGGTTGCCTAAGACCATCCTGCATATCAGATATTTTCATGACGATTCATAACAGTAGCAACATCAGAGTTATGAAGTAGCAGAAAATAATGTTATGGTTGGGTCACAACATGAGGAACTGTATTTAAAGGGCCAGAAGGTTGAGAACCACTGCTCTAGAGTCTTCGATAACAACCTGTGCCAATACCCCTGTGTCTCAACTTATAAACGCATATGCAGTCAACCTGACGGCCCAACTCTCTGCTGTCGGTCCTCCCCCGCCTCCCGACCTCTTTGCGGCGCTCCGGGGAGAGTTCAGACGTGCATTTACCGCCGCTCAAAGCCGCTTTGTGAGTTTTGCTCCCCAGTTTGGAGAAGGCTGAGGCCATCGAAGACCTCCAAGGGCTCTTCCGGGTCATCGTCTCTGCTGTTGAGGCTCAGTTCCTTTTCCTTCTGTTTCTCCATCTGCTTCTGTAACCGTCTGTGCTGCATCTCCTGCATGGCCTGGAACTGGAGCCGCAAGGTGTCCTGCGAGCCTTCCTCCGCTGCCATCTTGCCCTGGGAGTAGGAAAAGAGGCCCGAGCTGAAGTGAACCTCACAAAACGCACATTTCCCATGAGGGCTCAGTACATAGTCAGCGGGTCTGCAGCCCCCAACCCTGGAGTTAGCTGCTTAGCTTTGCATGTGGCCACGTGGAAGTTCAGAAGACGCCCCCCCACCTCACCTCAATCCCCTGGAAACCAAAGTTGAGCTGAGCATCCTCCTCTAGCCCTGACTCTGCCCCCCAACTGTGCGTGGCATCAGAATACTCCCCATCACTCAGACTCAACGCTTCCCCCTTCCTGTCCCTAAAACAGTGGTTCTCCACTCTGGCCGAACATTAGAATCTCTCGGGAGCTCCCAAAATATGACTTGGGCACATATTGGACCAATTAAATCCCAATTCCTAGGGATGGGACTCAATCATGACTTTTAAAAGCTTCAGTAGCCCTGACCGGTTTGACTCAGTGGATAGAGCGTCGGCCTGCGGACTGAAGGGTCCCAGGTTCGATTCCAGTCAAGGGCATGTACCTTGGTTGCAGGTACCTCCCTGGTTGGGGGTGTGCCCTTGGTTGCAGGCACATCCCTGGTTGGGGGTGTGCCGGGGACAGCTGATCGATGCTTCTCTCTCATCAATGTTTCTAACTCTCTATCCCTCTCCCTTCCTCTCTGTAAAAAAATCAATAAAATATATTTTTAATAAATAAATAAAAGCTTCAGTAGATGCCCGTTAACCCCAAACCAAGTCCAAAGGCACCAAAGGCTTTGGGGGATTTGGCCGCAGTCTCTCCTTCCAGCCTGCCTTCCCCTTGATAATGCCACCTCTAGGTCACCTTGCTCCTACACCTCACAGAAAAAGACTGGTTAGCCTAAATTTATAACAGAGTCCAACTTACTGTTTCTGTAAAGGGCCGGATGGTAAATATTCTAAGCTTTGTGGGCCAGGGGGCTCTGTTGCCGCTACTGTGTTGTGCCATTGCAGTGAAAAGCAGCCACAGACAAGACGTGAGTGGGCGGGTGTGGCTGTGTTCCAATAAAACTTTATTACGAAAATAGGCAGTGGTCTGGATTTGATCTGTGAGCCTTAGTTTGCCAAGCCCATTTGGAGGAATTTCACCTGAAAAGGTGTCTAGAGATGAAAGAAAAGCGGGGGCTGGCCCTGGAGCGGGAGGACGGGGACAGTGGCGGCCACCAGGCGGGGC